GATCTTTGGTGCCTTGCCCTCATTTGTCCCTACAATTAGAGAGAGAGAGAGAGAGAGAGAGAGAGAGAGAGAGAGAGATGAAAGAGAGAGAAAATAGAAGATTAACTGGGACTTAAGGGTAGAACAGACTTCTTATGTTGTAGGGACAAATGAGGCAAGGCACCAAAGATAGCAGGAAACAGTTTTATTTGGCTGCAGCCAGGTTCAGAGGGCACAGCTTTTGTTGTACTCAATCAATCCCCTGAACCCCATGTTCAGATAGTTTCAGAATTTTATACCCAGCATGTAAGGGGTGAGGCTCAGAAACTCACGGTCTGCAGAAGTTCACATTAAAGTAGTTTTTTTCTTTCACTGTTCTGGGCAAGTTAACCCTTCAAGGACACTACCTGAGAAGGGGAGGCTTCTTCTCCCCTTTCTTTCCTCCCCCTGCCAGCTGTTATCATGAAGCCCAATTGGTAACTTCTCTTATCTTAGAAATGTAGACATCTCAGACATCTTGAAGCTCAGCTCAAGGCCAGAGACCCTTGTTTACACATTTCTACAAAATACTATAATGGATGCATGTTTGTGAAAAACTAGTAAGGGGGTGTCCAGCACCTGGAGTGTTGATTTCTTCCTGGCCAGTGGCCAAGTAAAACAGGGCAACATAAAAATAGGAAGTTTAACTACATTGAACTTTTTTGTAGAGACTCTTTTGTTGCTTATAATCTTAAAATCAATTATGGTGAAGATTTCTGGAGAAGCTTAGTTAAGATTTGTATGTGTGTGTAGGAAAGGGTGCCACTACACTCTCTCAGTTGGTGTCTCTCTCTCTCTCTCTCTTCCCCCCCTTTCTCTTTTGTCTCTCTCTTTCGTATATCTCATATATATTACATATATAAGTATATGGATATATACATATATGCACATACATTATTTGTTACTGTTCTAGAATTTTATTTTGGTATATGGTACAAAGTAGAAGCTTAAGTTTGTGTTTTCCATGTGAACAGCCAATTATTTTCAGCATTGATCAATTTATAAATGAAACTATCCTGTTCCTGAAACTGAAATGCCACCTTTATATTAATGTAGTAACAGGAGTCCACTTTGTACTTTTGACTATAAACCTTATCGCTCACCCACATGTAGCTTATTTTTAAATTGACATTTTTGTTTTGTTTTTCCTCTTTTCTTCCTGCGGCCCACACACAACAACAGGAGAAACAAGACTAACATTTTTTCCACTCCATGCTAAGCTATTGTGTCCTTCACTCCTCAAAAGAATATCACTGCCCACAAGAATAAAGAAACTCCAAAGCTGGAGCAATGACTTTCTCAAGGACACTTTATATCTCCTGACAATATTTGGATCCCAGCCCCGAAGTTCTCTCTTCTCTTCAGAAGAAAGAATCACAGCCTCTGGAACAGTAGTCCCCTGTGTTTCTCATTAGCTAGCCAATCAATCAAATTTCTTTTTCCTTTTTCTCAAAACCTTGTCCTTATTATTAAATTGTCAAAGGAGACATGGACCAAGCTTTTAGTATTATTAATATTCCCTATATAGTTAATTCTAGATTCTCTATGTATTTGTCGTGTCTGTGTGTGTGTGTGTGTGTGTGTGTGTGTGTGTGTGTGTGTGATATACTGGGAATTTAACCTAGGGTTTCACACATGCTAGGCAACTGCTCTACTACTGAACTACATCTACCAGTTCTTTTTATTAATTTTATTTTCAGTCTGACCTTAAATTTACAATCCTCCTGTCTCAGATTTCCTAGTATGACCCCACTCCTTGTATTTGTCTTTTTAGGCTAATACTTTTTTGTCTGATCTGTTTGACTTTTGTTGGTTGGTTTGCTTGTGCAATCGTTTGTGTGTGACTACTAACCTTTGTATTAGCTTTGTGGCAAGTTTTACTTTAGCTTTGTGGAAAGACAAAATATCTGTCCTCAGCATTCATGAATCTTTTTTTCCCCCCCTAAACTATCTTAACAATTCTAATTATTTTTTATGAACATTACAATCACTTATATTCTCCATTACATTTTTTAAAATGTCAGGCCCTATATTATTCTTTAAATTTCTTTCTAGGAATTTTTACTGTTTTTGTCACTTATGTTGGTTATGCTAAGAATCTTTCAAGGTAAACTGTTGGAGCTCTTCTGCTAAAGCATTTTGTATTGGCTCTTGCATGTTAAGCTGATGGCTGTTGGTCCACAAATGTTTTTGTCTTGCTTTCTGCTACATGTGAAGTGAATGAAAAGAGGAATACAAGGAAGAGAGAAGTTAAATTAGCTATGATTGAAATTGTCTATGGATTCAGTTCTCAGCTTGTTCAGATTATTGAGGTGTTATGAGAAACTAAATCAAATCTTTGTATTCTTTTTCTTCTTTAGTTTTGCAGCTTTTATTAGATGAAATACTTATATAATTACATTTTACTTAATTTAAAAATGTTATCAGCTATCAGATGATGGCCAGATTTGTTAGTATGTCCAATACAAATATTTTCTTTAAAAAATGTGTAAGTCTGGGGGCTGGGGCTGTAGAGTGCTTGCCTAGCCCATGTGAGGCCCTGGGTTT